TCGCCAAGAAAAGGGAGGGAAGGGCCAGCCACTATTCACGTAAATAGTGGTTGCCCTTGCAAATAGTATTTTGTGTTTCCACCCATTGTCATAGCTAAGGGCAATTACTATTCATTTTTTTGTTTATTTCACACATTTTTTTACCTTAATAATTAATTTGGATAATATTTTCGGATAAGATTTCCAGGTTCCTACATGTCAAGACTATTCATAATCGGATAAAATTTCCGGATAAGATTTTTGGGTTCAAATTTCTGATGAATTTCAAAATTCAAATTTTAGATAAATTTTTGGGTTCATATTTCGGATGAATTTCAAAATTCAAAATTCAGATAAATTTGGGTCAAATTTCTGATGAATTTCAAATTTCAGATAAGATTTTCATCCAATCAAATCAAGGCACATTACATGTCTATCTTGCCAAAATTTTCTATAAAACAAGAGGCTCAGCTCATACCTCTCACACCACATCTTTATATATTTTCATTTCTCAGAGTGTAGAATTCATACTTCATTCATCTCAATAGAAGATTTTAGGAGATGCTTGGAGAGGCAAGAGCGAGAAACAAATGAGAGAAACCGTAGAGTAGATGAAATTAATGAGTTGCAGAGACAAGTTGATGAACAAGTTGTCATAGCAGTGGCTTTGCAAGATGAAGAGAATCAATATCGCCGCCGTGGTTCACAAGTTGGCCGCCGCCGGAATGTGGACAGACATAGGCATTCTCGGGGTAAGAATCTTTTGGAAGATTATTTTATCCCAACTTCTTTGTACTCTGATGTTGATTTTCGAAGGCGATTTAGAATGCAACCTCATTTGTTTAATAAAGTCATGCATGATATTTGCAATTATGATGCATACTTTGTTCAAAAGTGTGATGTTGCTGGGGTTTTGGGGCTTCTTCTGGAGCAAAAGCTTACAGCTGTTATACAAATTTGGCGTATGAAGCATCTGCTGATCAGGTGGATGAGATTGCCCGGATGGGGAAGTCCACTACGTTGGAGGCTTTGGTAAGATTTTGTGATGCAATTGAAACTCTGTACACTAGGGACTATATACGTAGACCTACTCCCAGGGACCTCCAACAGCTTCTACAAAAAGCCGAAGCTCGAGGATTTCCAAGAATGATTGGTAGCATTGACTGCATGCACTGGCAATAGAAGAATTGCCCAACAGCCTTGCAAGGTGATTACGGAAATAGAAAAGACCAAAAAAGTATCATCCTGAAAGTCGTTGCTGGCTTCGACACATGAGTTTGACATGCCTTCTTTGGAGTTGTCAGATCCCAAAATGACCTCAACGTGCTTGGTCAATCCACAGTCTTCAACGATGTATTGAGAGGCCAAGGCCCCAATATCACCTATCAAGTCAACAATACAGTCTACCAAACGGGGTATTATCTAGCTGACGGCATCTATCCGAGGTGGACCACTTTTGTCAAATCCATTCCGAATCCCCGATCCTATAAGTAAAAATTATTTGCTACATATCAAGAATGATACAGGAAAGATGTCGAAAGGTGTTTTGGCATCCTTCAAGCTCGGTGATTATTCGAGGTGTGGCCTGTATGTTTGATGAGGAGATCCTCAGAAGCATTATGATGACTTGCATCATCCTCCATAATATGATTGTGGAGGATGAGTACGATTATGATGTTTTAGAGGTCTACGACTCGGATCCAATGAACACGGCCTTGACACGGATTTATGAAAGGCCCATGGGGCCAAGTGGAGAACCGTTTGAGCCGGATCTGTTGGTGAGGGATGGTCGTTTCATGACCCGGATGATAGATCGATATACAGAAATGCAATCTTCGTATATTCATGACAGGCGTCAAGTTTACTTGATGGAGCATCTATAGGCGGTGAAATGCAATGAAGATGAATGATAGAGCATAGATGTTTTGGTTATGTTTTATTTAGTTTATGGTTTGGTTGTGTTGTTTTTTACTTATTATGGTTTGGTTGTGGTTTGTTATTATTATTGTGCCTTGTTTGTAGTTTTTATTTTATTTTAATTATGTTTTGTTTTATGTATGGAATATGTTGAATAAAAAGGTATTTTATTGAATGCTTTGTTTATTAAATAAAGAAATCCAATACAAGTCATTAAGAATTATAACAACTTCAATAAAAAAAAACATGAAAAATACAAATACATAAAAGGTATGCCAACTAATTTAATGGTTTTCATCATTTAACCAATCCGTGTTGCTAGGCCCATCATCCTGGAAAAGTCTTCTTTTCTTAACATCCCTTTGTTCTAGCTTCCAAAATTGTTTTGTTTCAGGGGACATATGGCTTATATCCATCGCCATGGTTTCCTGATCCGTCTTGTCCATATCTTTTTTGCGCAAATACTCCCTTTCTCGTGCATACTCGGCTTGAATTGTCATCTCGTTCTCTTGGCGTTTCTGCTCCATTTCAATTCTTACGGCGTTCTACCTTGCAATTTCCTCCAAAAATTTTGAATTATTATTGCTCGAATTACCCGCTTTTTTTGCCTTCGCAGCCTTTCGGCCAATGGGCCTCGGCTCCTTTTCGATGGATGAGTTTTGACTCATAAGAGAATCGATAGGTGAATCCGATGGTATTGAATCACAGAATGGCGTCTCGTTTAACATAACATCGGGATTCGTGGGAATAATTATGAAGCGTTTGCAATATTTCACCACCTCCCAACATTCATGATGGGTGAAACTTTTTTTGCCACCCCCGGTTGCACCGAACCACATCTGTGCTTGAATAATCTATTTAACAAAAAAATGGAAATGCAAGAAATATTTAAAATATATTGGATATGCAAGTAACAAAAAAA